TTTATTTCCATCTCTTTGCCCGGATGGAATATCCACCATTGGTTTTCTGCAGAACCCTCTTCACTCTCTGCATTACATCCTGGGCAACCTTTTCTTCTTTCTACATTCATCTCCTTGCCATGTTTCATGTGCTTAAAGTCAACCCATCCTCTCCATCACTACACCCTTGAATCTGTTCTCCATGCCCATGTATTTTTCTGATCTAGTTGAGCCTATCCATGGGTGAGTTTTCTTTTCAGTTAATTATTCATAAGAGTTCAGCAAAATCCTCCAAGAGGACCTCTGAGAGAAGATAACACAGATTTGTCCAGGGAGGCCCAGGGTGTTGAATGAATTCTTACAAGTCTGGATTTGAATCATTATATATTCAGCTATTTTATGGCTGAATTGAGGCTAACCACTTTTTTACCCTGACACGTTCCCCACCTTTAAGCCCTATGTGACAGGTAAGTACAATATGGCAAGTCCTAAAATTCAGTTTAAGATGTTGCAAAAGCAAAAACTATCTGAAGATCACTAAAGTGGTTCTAATCCTATGCATATTTACTCACATGTAAGAATAAGCACAGGATTTCAGCTTTAAAGATAAGGGGTGTGTGTGTGTGTTTGTGTGTGTCTAAAAATGAAAACTGAGCCATCTGTGTGGGAACCTCATAACTGCCAGGATTAATGTGGCCTCTCAATCCAGTTTCCTTATTAAAAATAAACTGCTTTATAATTTAATTAAATCAATGCCTAAAGGAAAGGCTGAAGCTCAGATAAGGAAGAGGGCATTGCCTCTCCCTCAGTTCCCCTCAGAACAGTAGGATTTAGTTCACTAGTTCAACTAGGAATAATCATAACAGTCCTGATTTCTTGGGAGCTTTGTGAGTAACAAGTGCAGTCTTCTCAGACTCATTAGCCCACAAAATAACTTAATCCTGCCAGAGATGGAAAGAGTAACAGATGCCAGTTTTTTGCATTGCTGGCATCATTTAGGCCAATGATCTCTAGCCGTTTGGCTCAAATTTTAGCTAATTTCTTGCACTGACAAATCACACTTATTTAACCTTTCAGGCTGACCCGTCTTAACCTGTGTCCTTCCATGACACCTTATCTCGCTCGGTCAGGAAACGAGACGTTCAATTTAATTTTGGCAGCTGCCAAATCGCAAGCCAAAGCTTTCATGTGAAATATCAAATGATTTCATATTAGTGAGGAGGAAAACAGATTTCGCTGAGATACTTGGGCACATTACAACACCCGCTCCGGAAAAGTCAGCCCAATCTGGCGGAAAACACAGATCGCATGTTTTTTTTAAAAAATGACACAGTTAGCAGACTGTACAATATAGAATCATAGAAACGGAATCATAGCATCATGAAGTTGGAAGGGGCCTATAAGGCCATCAAGTCCAACCCCTTGCTCAATGTAGGAATCCAAATCAAAGCAGATGGTGATCCAATTTTCTCTTGAATGCCTCCAGCTTTGGAGTGCTCACCGCCTCCTGAGGTAACTGGTCCCATTTAACAAGACATTTTTCCTGATGTTCATCCAAAATCTGGTTTCCTGTTGCTTGGGCACATGACATGTCCTGCACTCTGGCATCATTGAGAAGAGATCCTGCCTGTAGGATGAATCCTTCCAAGTAGTTGAAAAATGCTGTTATATCTCCCCTCAGTCTTCTTTTCTCAAAGCTAAACATGCCAATTTCTTTCAGCCTTTCCTCATAGGGCTTGGTTTCCAATCCCCTGATCATCCTTGTTGTCCTTCGCCGGACTTGCTCCAGTTCGCTGCCATCCTTCCAATAATGTGGTTTCCAGAACTGAACACAGTACTCTAGATGAGGACTAACCAGTGCTGAACAGAGGGGGACTTCCTGGACTACCTCATGGGATCTGAAGACTATGTTTCTGTTAATGCATCTTAAAATTGCATTTGCCTTTTTTGCAGCAACATTGCACGATCTTAAAATTACATTCGCCTTTTTTGCAGCAACATTGCACTGTTGGCTCATATTCAGCGTGTGATCTACATCAATTTCAAGTTCCTTCTCACTTGTATCATTACTGAGCCAAGTATTCCCCATCTTGTGTTCCTTCTCACTTGTATCGTTACTGAGCCAAGTATTCTCCATCTTGTATCTGTGCATTTGTGGGGGTTTTTTTGTCCATAGTTGTAGAAGTTTGCACTTTTCCCTGCAAAATTTCATTCTGTCATTTTCAGTCCGGTGCCCAAGCCTACGGACCATATCCACCAAGTTAATTAAAATAAACTTCACTAAACCTGAGCTACTGCTGTTGGTATATACTGCTGCTGCTGTTTCAACTTATAGAATGCCCCATAGTGCTATAGCGCTTTCTGGATGATTTATAACATAATTATGCACACATCGCTTTGCCCTCCAGCAAACAAAATTGTAAAATTGCTTCCAGCATATGGCAACCCTTAAAGGGTTTAAAGGTAAGTGAGATGTCTGAGGAGTGGTTTTATCATGGCTACCCTCCAGTGAGTTACAGTGGCTGAGGGTGGATTCGAACCCAGCTCTCCTGGGTCATCGTTGAACTCTCCAGCCGCTGCACAACACTAGCTCTCAAACTGGGTATAATAAACCTGAGCTGCCTGCAAGTCATAAACTTAAAAGACTTCCATTTAAATCCTTTCCTGGCAAAATCTGTTTCTCTCACAAACTGGAGAAAACCCAGGCAGAAATCTAGAAATGGACTGAAATAATACACATGTCTTGTGGTTCCTTTAAGATGCAGAAATGGACTGTTAGCACAGCCCATTTCCTCGGACACATAGAGTTCCCTGCGATGGACTGAGGCCTTTACAACATTGGGCCAATTCGAAGTGCCTTTCAGTCCCAAGAATGCTGAGGAAACCCCCCTCTTCATTCACCCTTCACTGCCCTTTTTCAGAAACATGGCAAGTGAATCTACTGCTAAGCTGAGTTATTATCTTGCTGAGAATCTGGGATAAGACTCAGATTCTTTACCTGGCCGCTTGGTGGGATCTAAGATACAAAAGGTATTGGAACCACTGGCTTAAGGTGCTAGAGAAGAATCCGGCACGCTAAGCAAAAAATTCCTTTTGTTGCAGACTTCTTTGGACCGCCAAGAAATCAAACTGAGTGGGAATTTGTGGACTCCTGAAAATGTCAGCGGTTTGAGTTTATGACTTCTGAGTTCCAGGCTTCTGTGCATCGAGACACAATGCCCTCCTTCCATTTCTGCAGTCTTGGTCAAGCAGCCCTTGTTAAGACTATAATCTAGTCCATGATGTTGGGTTGCTATACACGGCTGGGTATATTCAGAGTGCTGAGTCAAATACTCTACTGAACTGGCATGATGGAATTAAGATCAAGGAGATAAATATAAGGGTCAAACTAGATAATATGTTTATTACATTTTTGGAAGCAGTGCTCTTTCAGATTTTGAAAGACATCTTTCACAGCACATGGTTTTCTGCGCCTACAAATGAACCATTTAGCATGCTTTATCAGGGTCAAACTAAATAATATGTTTTACATTTTTGGTAGCAGTGCTCTTTCAAATTGTGAAAGGCATCTTTCACAGCACATGGTTTTCTGCACCTACAAATGAACCATTTAGCATGCTTTATTAAATGTGGATAGATACAGTGGTGCCTCGCTTAACAGGTGCCACGTTTAATGACGAAATCGCATATCGACGAACTTTTTGTGATCGCTTTTGCGATCACATTGAGATGTTTAAATGGGGAAAATCGCTTTGTGGTGATCGGTACCCTGTTTCGTTTACCGATCATCACAAAGCGATGATTTTTAAACAGCTGATCGGCGGTTCCAAAATGGCCGCTGGGTAAAAAAATGGCCACCCGCTGTATTTAGGGAGGGATTCCTCGCTTACCGGGCAGCGAAAATGGCCACCGTATGGAGGATCTTCACTTAAAGGTCAGTTTTAAGCCCATAGGAATGCATTGAAGGGGTTTCCAATGCATTCCTATGGGCTTTTTAAAATTGCATAGCGACGAAATCGCTTTGCAGCGATTTTTGCTGCACCAATTAACGTCGCTATGCGAGGCACCACTGTACTCAAGTAATTCCCAACCTTGCGCTACATAGGTGTTTCTGGACTGCACTTCCCCAAAGCCTTCACCATCAGCTGTGCTGGCTTGGGATTTCTGGGAGTTGAAATCCACAAACACCTGAGTTACCTATGGTTGGGAAGCACTGGTGTAATGGATAGAATAACAGACTAAAGAGATCTGAGTTCAAATCCCTGTTCAGCCATGAAATCTCATGGGGCGTGGCACCGGTAAAACCACTCCTTAAATATCTCACTTGCCTTGAAAGTCATTTCCCACTCTACAGTACAGAACACAAGAACATTTCAACCTGGTAACCTGATTGGTTAATGGATGGTAAACAGGGACATGCATTACTGGAGAAATCTCATTATATGAAGGAAAGCTAGTTTATCTTAGAAAACATGCATTCCCCTTAACGTCTAGTTTGATTCTTATATATATATATATGACCACAAGGTTGCATACATGATTCTTCACCTTCTCACTGTATCTAATAAACTACAAAGCAAAGTGTGTTGCTTTGGAAGCACCACCTCATACCATTTAAAGCACTCTCTGTGTGGAATGGATTACAATTATGCAGGGTACACATTGCCCCTTCTCCAGCAAGCTGGGTACTCATTTTACCAACTTCAGAAGGTTGGAAGGTTGAGTCAGCCTTGAGAGAGCTGCCTGAGCCTAGGATCAAAGTTAGGTAGGGAGCAGAGTCTTGGCTGCAGTACTGCAGTACAACCACTGTGCCACGAGGCTCCTGTGAAGTAGGTTAAACTGAGAAAGGACGACTGACCCAGGGTCATCCAAGATGATTCGTTGTTCAGCAGAGACTTGAATCCGATCTCACAAAGCCCAATCCACCCCACCCACCCCCCAATCAGGGCAGTATAGCAAGATTTTAATATATACCAGAAAAGCATTTTTAGTGAATTAGTGAATTAGGTTTTTTTACTTACACTTGCGTGGAGTTTTCCTTTTTTGGACATCGCTAAAAATTTGTTGCTGAAAACTCCTCGTATTCCTACAATCCCCTGAGATACAGCAAATATTTCCAAAATACCTAGGACGACAGAAATCCCACAATAAAACACAATTCGCTTTGTGCACCGCACTGGGAAGAAAAGAAAAAAAAGGAGAGAGAAAGAAATCATATGCATTGCGTTCTCTTGAAAGGGGGGGCGGAATCCTGAGCTTTGTCATTTTAGGCTTAACCAGTGATTTCATGGTTGATTGCTTGTTTCTCCCTGCTTAGGTTATCTGAATATACATTTATATTTATAGACGTCCTAAGGTTTTAAAGGACACGGGCCAGTGAGGGATGGAAAGGGAGGATTGGAGTTAAATGACTTTTCCCACTGAGGTTACCCAATTGCCCTCAACAGGAAAGCCATCCACAGAGGTGCTAGCACAGAGGAGGAGCTGGGTTTTCCAAAACCAAGAGGAACAGTATCAGACACGGGCATTCCCACACCCACCACCAACCAAAGGTTGAATCCTGAAAACTCTCAGTTCAGTCCTGGGAGCTGTTTTCAATATTTGGCTTAACAAGCAAGCAAGATAATCATATATGTCTAACAATCATCGGTCCTCAAGTTGATTCTTATGGCAACCCTTGCTCAGGCATCAAGCAGCTCTACATATGGATGCTGGGATGGCAGCAATGGAATGCCTCATGGACTCTGGATGCCTAGATGATGGGTGGGTGGAACTGCTGGGTTTTGGGGCTTCCACATTGGCCAGTAAACATTTTGTGTTGTAGTACAAAAAAGATAAACTTTTTCAAACTCCAGCCCTTTGAAAGGATGAAGGAGTTACTTACCCCATTCAGCTCATGCCGATACTGGGGCAACACTTTCAGCTTTACAGTGTATCTCGTCCATCAGTACTGGAATTTGGCCCATACGGAGCCCTCTGTGGTCCAGATTTGCAGATGCCTGATTTGCACCTTACTATATTTGGTCAGAATAGCTTCACACCAGACATGCCCTTGATCTAACATTCAGATTTCATCTTTTGACATCTTTCTCAGCCTCTGATACTAAGCCACCCATTTATTTCGCCTTCAGAAATGGAAGGTGGGTATACCCCACTCTCTTCAGCGCCCAAGCAGGACCTGATCTGTCTTTCACAAACGGAAGCCGATGGTTAGATTTTATTCTGATAAGGTGCTTACGTCCTGTTCTACTATGATGTAGGGCTATGAACATTTTCCCCCTAATTAATTGTTCTTGATGAAATATGAGGCAGCCCAGGCAGATAATCACTGCCTCCTATAAGATTTTTCACCTCTAGTGAGATCAAAATGCCTTTTGTTGTTGTTCTTCATTTTTCCACAATTTGCACAAAATGTCTGTGTGCAAAACTTCGATATTTTCCTTTTGTGAAGCAAAATACACAGAGCAAATACAGAAAAACTGGCTGATTGATCCAAAAGTTGTAGCCAATGCAATTAAGGCAGTAGCTATTGTGATTTTCTATGATTCGTGCAGTTTGCACAGTTTAGACACACAAACAAATGTTCTCCCAACTGTCAGGACTCTCATTGACACCAACCCTCTTGCAGGAAGAGGAAACATTTCCCAAGCTACTTATTCTCATCCATGAACACTGAGACCAGCGAATATTGACACCCTCTACTCTGGATGTGAACAGAGCCAAACTATATAGATTTCTAAGTCCACACAGCGTGGATTTTCACCAAGTTTGTAGAACTTGTTCCTGCCAGCTTCCGTTCAAGGAAAGTAACATTGTGTTCCTCTTTCTACTCTTGCTCCTAAGGAGTAGCTATGGTCCATGTGTGCAAATGTGCATTGTGATAACTAGGCACATCTGATCATTGCTGAACTCAACAGAAGTCCTCAAGGTGGGTCAAAGTAGACAGGCCCACTTTTGTGCCATGTATACAAGCACAATTAGAACTGGATCAGCCCCTTCCCGCCTCCATTACTGCAATTCCCCTTTTGTGATTCAGTCATGGTTTTCTCATGAAGAGGACCTCCAGATGTCATCAGAAGATCCTTGTCCTCATCCCAGCCATCATTCAGCTCCACCAAATGCTAGGCTGTCTGGGGATGGTGGGAGCTGTAATCTAACCCAATTTGGGAGCCCACTCACAACATGAAGAAGGGTGCGGTGCCATAGACCACAACAGACACAACTCAACAGTGTCTGATGGGCCACGGCATTAAAAAAAAGCCCATCTCTGTTCCCTTCGCCCACTTCATTTCTGTGGCAGGAAATGCCTCCTCCTCTTCCCCTTTATTTTACCTCCCAATTCTTTCAGTGATGTGCTTTGGGGGGAGGAGGGGGGAAGCCTTTTGCTCTTTGTTTCTGCTGCTCTTTTCCAGCCAGTGATCAAAAGTAGAAGTAAAATAGGAGCACATTTACTTTCTGTTGAAGGTGAGCAAAGGTGATTCTGAAACTGCATAAGCATCTCTTCCTTCTAAAAGAGAGAGAGAGAGAACGCAGCAGGAACTATTTTTACATAGCAGTGCCACATTTCCGAATCATCCCTGTAGTGCTGTGAAATTATGGAAGGAACAACCTAAGTGCTTGTTATTACGAAGAAATATGCTGGCAAAGAGAATATCTGAAATGGGCCAACAGAATGTTCCTACCTGATGAGGAAAGTTCTAAAGTTCTACACTAAAGTCAGTGCAGCACCCGAGGATGCTTATAGGAACAATCCAGTTGGTTCACAGCTCTGCCTGTCCTGCAGGAGTTGCATTGGCTAGCTATTTTTTGTTTCCAGGTCCAGTTCAAGATACCAGAATTCATTTTTAAAGTTCTAAGCTATCCTTTCCCAAGCTAGTGTCTTCCAGAAATGTAGGGCAGCTCCCATCATCCCCAGACAAGTGTTGTGCTGGCAGCAGATTGTATGGTTTCAAGCTCTAGGAAAAGCTTCCTTAAATCATTTGGGAACAGGTAGTTTGAAGCCCTGCCAGCACCCACATGAATGTTCCCGAGTTTTAAGATCTGTTCTGGAGATCCTGCTCTCTGGTCCATCAACGAGAGTCATGAGATTAATGAATCATGGGGACGGGGTCTTTTCTGTGGTGGTCCCATCTCTTCAAATGCCCTCCCTGGGAAAGTGTATATGGAACTCTCCTTGCAGCAATTAAGCGAATTTTGAAGACTTATTAATTTTGGCTTGCATGTTATTAATTTTTGTGCATTGTAATGTAAGGAGCACAGGACAGAGGTATCTGATTCAAGTTCTAGGACTTGGACTCAGTCAAACTGGGTTCACAATTCCAGGTTTCCACCCCAGCTCACCAAGGAAGAAAATGGCAGAAACAGTCCTTAAATATCTCACTTACCTTAAAAAGCCCTGCTGGTCACTATAATCTGCTTCCAACTTGACAGCACATAACACACATACTTTTGACTACAATTTTATGAGTTACCATATTTTTCCATGTATAAGACTATGACTTTGTCTAAAATCTTTAGACTAAAAATTGAGGATCGTCTTATACATGGAAGTAAGCTGAGGAGAGAACTAAAACAAGTGGAGGGGAAAGCAGGGATCAAAGCGATCCCGCAGTACTTTGATCCCCTTCCTCCTACCCTTGCTAAGCCCCACTTAGATTTCTGAATTTTGGGTTACAAAAGTGGGGGACATCTTATACATGGGGGTCATCATATATACAAAGAAAAATATGGTGCCTTACTTGTTATGTTAGTTATTCATAGATAAGATTTAGCTTATTTTCAAGGTCTGATTACAGTGGTGCCCCGCATAGCGAGGTTAATCCGTTCCGGATTAACCGTTGCTATGGAGATACATCGCTTTACGGAACGGAAAACGCCATGCGTTCCTATGGCTCTTAAACTCACTGTTCTGCGAAGTTTCTCCAAAGCGCTTACGGAACGGAAAACACTATGCGTTCCTATGGCTCTTAAACTCACTGTTCTGCGAAGTTTCTCCAAAGCGCCACGATTTTCGTGCCCTCGGTAAGCGAGGGCAGGGTGCGAAATTGGTGCAGGCTGTTCCCAAAATGACCGCTGGGTGCAGAAATGATCCCGATGCGATGTTTAGCCTATCTAAACATCGCAATGCGATCGCATTAGCGACCCCAAAGAATGGGTCGCTATGAGGATTCTTCATTAAACGGTGTGCTCGTTAAGTGAGGCACCACTGTATTTAATTTGTCTTTCAAAGCAGGTTGTAATCTTTCTTCCAAAGGTTTTTTTGTACTCTTAAATGTGTGTTAGAAAATTACTGTGTCAAACAAAAGGAAATCAAGCAATGGGGTGGGGGTTGTTCCCAGTATCAGAAAGGAGACAAAAGCGAGAAGAAAGAAACACTCCATTTCCCCCATCTGTCAGTGTTGAAGCCAACACTAGAACTGATAAATCTCGGCTAGTATGAATGCCAAACTAGACATGATGTCAGTGGCATCAATGCTGCCAGGCTGGCCCTGCCATTAGGTAAAATAAAGCAACCACTTCAGGAAACAGACATGAGAGAGGAGAAAACAGTTACTTGTCTACTGTACTGTTATTGTATAGTTACGTCTACAGCTGGGGAGAAGCCATGATGTGTGTTTCTGCCTAATGTGTCAAAAAACATTGGCTGGCTTTGGTTACAATGTAGTTTGAACTGCTGGATAACTCAGCGGTTTAGGCATCTAGCTGAGAGTTCAATTCCCCACTGTGTCTCCTGGTAATGGGCTTAATGATCCATAGAGTCCCTTCCAGCTCTGCAGTTTGAAGATGATAATGATGACTGGGGTGGTGGTACCATTTGCTCTTTACCTGCCAGCAGCAAAATGATTTGGACTATATCTTTAAAGAAGTTGATACACTCATGTGGCCAGGGGTGAGGAAATGCCTAACAAGTGGTTACAGGGAAGCCTGTGCAGCCTTCAGATCCTGGAGGGTGGGTGGAGAGGGGAAGTTTAACTCTTCATTTTTCTCTGCTCTCATCTGAACAAAAAACACCACTGCGATTTGCACATCAAGGGAAGCCTCTTGGTGTCAAGATCTTCCCTAGAAAAACAAAGGTCTTCCTGTGAAATACAAACAGCAGCTTTGGATCAGCAACACGGATGAGAC